TCGAATTCGTCAAAATAAAACTGGTGCTCGAATTCGTCAAATCTGGTGCTCGAATTCGTCAAATCTGGTGCTAGAATTCGTCAAATCTCGTGCTCAAATTCGTCAAATCTGGTGATTCTTGTGGTGGTCCTTGGTGGTGCTCGATTTCGTCAAATCTGGTGCTAGAATTCGTCAAATCCGGTGCTCGACTTTGTCAAATCTGGTGCTCGATTTCGCCAAATCTGGTGCTAGAATTCGTCAAATCTGGTGCTCGATTTCGCCTAATCTGGTGCTCAATTTCTCTGGCTGGTGCTCGATTTCGCAAAGCCCAGTGGTCGGGCTGGTGCCAGAGCGGGCAAAGCGGAGACACACGCGCGCAAAAATTGTGCTCTGGCTGGTGCTAGAATTCGTCAAATCTGGTGCAAGAATTCGTCAAATCTGGTGCTCGATTTCGCCAAATCTGGTTCTCGAATTCGTCAAATCTGGTGCTCGAATTCGGCAAATCTGGTGCTCGAGTTCGTCAAATCTGGTGCTCGAATTCGTCAAATCACCCCACCATGACCTTTGACGTGGACAAGCAAGACAAGCATTCACCATCTCATATTGTTTGCAAGGCACACACACACACACATACACACCTTACAGAAGGGCACTGGGTATGGGGCAGGGGATGGGCGAAGTGAGGTATGATTCTGATCATGGTGAGATCTAAAACTTTCAATCTGGGTCAAGCCCAGCAATTCATTGACCAAAATGTCCCAAAACCAAGAGCCATTTCCAGCAATTCGCTGGTGCTCGTTTTCATGAACACACTTCATTTAAAAAAAACTATTGTTGAACTGTTACTCGGGGCGAGCCACATCGAAGCCATAGGCCAGCCCACAACCTCTCCTGCTGTTCCGGCTCTGACTCCTCAATCTCCGTGACCAGCGGAATGTTCTGCTCCTGGTTACCGACCGCAATTCCCGTTGCTTGGCAGCGACCGAAGGCAGTCGGAGAGGATCTTGGGCGCCCAAAGGACCGTCTCAAAAGCAACCGATCCCGTCTCGTCTCGCATTGAGGTCCTCTCCTTCGATGAGATTTATATAGATTGCAACCCCAAAACGCTCGAACAAAGTCATTTAAAAAGAACTCAGGGCACAACATACTTCAAGTCTAACAGTCTATCGGTCTTTTTCATTGCTGCTGGAGCTCCTTGTCAAAGGTCTTCTATATCTGCCAAGTCTGTATGACACAGCACTCCACCCTCAAACCCACCGCATCACCCATCACTTCACCCTCCTCGCCCGCCGCTGGCGCTGACGCTGCGCTGAGCATGTGCAGCTCGCTCTCGACCGCATGGGGCTCCGGCTCGTGCGCCAGGAATTGCACCTGCCGTGCCCGCCACGCTCGGGACCCGCGACGCTCGGCACCGTGCTGCGCGAGGGCAACTGTGATGCATCGCTCCATGATCCTCCAGCCTTAAGGGGGACCCATGTGGGGGGGGGGTGACGTTCCACACCTCTCTCCCCCTCTCCCCCCAAAACATATGAAAGCAGAGCTTGGTAAACAATCATGAAATACTTTAGATATACTGTACTAATGATTTTACCTCGTATACATACAACATAGCATATTTGAATATATGCTCCATGAGAACCCCAGAGAGCCTTGAACTGGGGTTCCGTCGAACACTCTCCAACTGTCCCGGCATGCCTGACAGACATGGAACCATGGAACCTCGAGACATGTCCCTTCCCAAGGGACTCACTGGGGGTACGAAAAGGAGAGAAAACCGGAGTCCCAAACCACCGCAAGGTGCCATGTCCACTGAAAACACCTCCACCGAGTTTTACTAAACACCTCCTCCTCCGCGCTCTGCCACGTCCCGGCGCTCCTTGCCACGCACGCTCCGTCCCGCACCTCGTCGAGCGCCAGCAGCGCCTTCTGCAGCTCGCCGAAGGCCGGCACCGCCCGCTCCGCCGCGTCGAAGAGCTCCTGCAGCTTCGCCTCCGCTCGGGGATCGGTGCGGTCGGGTGGAGGAGAGCGGAAAGAGGCCGGGAGCGGAAGAGGAGAGCGGAAGAGGGTGCATGATATGTCTATAGAAACTTTGGATGTATGTGGAGGAGATTGGTGGAAATGAATGGGCCAGGAAGAGGTACGCGGAAATAGATGTGTGTCTTCAAAAATGTCCACTGAATCTTGGGATATCTTGGGTCTGTTTTGTATAGAGAGTTTTCTTAAAAGATTCAACACAATATGCATCCGCCACAAGTGTGAATAGGCCCAGTCTCGTCCCAAAGTCCCCTGAGGCCACTTTTAATCAAAAGGTCATGGTCGTAGTTTAATCAAGTGGCCAATCTTTTGGAAGATTGGATCATTTCAGTGACGCATCGTTGTCGTGGGCCGTCCTCCTTTCCACAATCACCTTGTGCTCCGACCACCATGGAAAAAACGACCTCGGTCATCGGTTTGTCCGTCCAAGTCACGTTCATGTCGTCCAGGTCGTAGTCACACTCGATGAGTTCCGCGTCCTCTGCCATGCCACACAGCTCCTCCGCTGCTTCCGCAACCACCTGCCGGTGGAGAAGCGGGTGCTTCGGAGAAGCTGGTCTTTGAGGTTTGGTGTGGTTGGTGAGTTGATTGTGGGTCTACTAGGTACATGGTGTAGGTTTGGGGTCTACTGTAGGTTTGTGGCTCTTGTTGGGGTTGGTTTTGGCTTTTGGATGATGTGAAGGGACATTGCCCCAAACAAGGGACTTTGCCCCAGGCGGGCGAGGGTCGGACCCGGGCGGACTTCCTCGCCCACGCCAAGGCACTGACAAAGGCTGAAACAGTTTCGGCTGACCGCCAACGCCGTATTTCACCAAACCAGATAGGAAAAAAACACTGGTATATAGACACCGATCTAGATGGCATAATCATAAAGCCAAGCTAATTAATCAGAGGTCCATACAAACTCAATGTGTCCCACAGACTCTGCGCATCGTTTTGGATGGACCTCCCACCGAGCTGTGCAGTGTCCATGCCTCAAAGGCCTCCTCCAGCTTCTCACTGCAGTCCCGGGCGCACTTGAGGTCGCTGGCGGCCTGGCGCAACTTGCTCGCCATCTTCTGGAACATCTCCCGGCTCTGCTGGTGCTCCTGGCAAGGGTCGACGGCTCTGCTAGCAGTCAATGCTGCTCCTGAGAGGTCAGGGAATCAACAAGACCATCTGGTGAGGATCTGAGCGGAAAAGACTGTGTGGTACAGTGACGCTTCCCCCATCTTCCTTGATCTCTTGAGCCCACAAGCGCCCCAAGAGTTGCTTGAGCATCTTCCGCCCGGCAAAGCCCACGAGGCACAGCGCCAAGATCACTCCGCTGAAGGCGGCGATCGGTGCCACCGACAGCATCGAGGTGGACAAGGTGCTCATGGAGGCCTAGGTGAAACACCACGGATTGCGTGGCAGGACGTCCTGAATTGAAAAAACCGGTGGGTCATCTACGTACTCCGACATCACTGACAGTGCAAAAGCATTCCCAAAGCCCTGAGCCCCTCCTCGACAAATATATTCGATTTGAGATTGATTTGGAAAAAACACTTCTCACCAAATGCGGAGGCACGCCGGTTCAAGGCTAATTACTTGGCCCAAATCTCCAACTCACATTATTGCAACACACGTCATCCAGCTGAAAAAAGAATTGAACCAATGAAACAAGAGAAACCTGATTATATAGGTGACTTTGGACATCTTGGATATGGCAATGTATTTGGCAGCCTGGCACAACTCCCGACCATCTTGGCACCGCCCCATTCTTTCGCGCCTGCAGCGCCTCCATGTTCGCTCCAGCCTGCGCCGCCTGTGCCGCCGCCGCGCTCAGCGCCACATGCGCTGAGCCGGAGGCACTGGCGGCGGCGGACGCCGCGGCGCCGGCGGCATCCGAGGCGGCCGTGGCCATGTCGAGGCAGTGCATGAGGAAGGCCTCGACTGTTTGTGGCGAATGGTTTTTGAAGACCTTTCATCGGCTTCTGTTGTTGTCTGTGCTTCCAAGATTCCAGCTTTAAGAGAGTTAGTTTCTCAGCTTTGTCCACGTGCGAAATGTTTTGGAGGGAAAATGGAGAAGACTCCCATCAACTGCTGAGCCTCCAAATCACCCCTGACTTCCTTCCGCTTCCTTCTGGTGCATCGCTATCCAGTGGGGTTGTCCATAGCCGATCTCGGAAGGCAAAAAAATGGTTCGGGGGGGTGCGACAGGGACCAGGCGAAGTCCATGCCCATGGCATTCCATGAGGCATTCGCCTCCTGGACTTCACATCACAGGACCTATGACATGGAAAAAAGATGGGACATAAAAGACATCATGAAACAAAAAGACATTGGAAAGAACATGGACGCCCCCACATGTCAATGTCTTTTTCAGTCTTGGGCAGATGACATGATTGAAAAAAAGGAATAAGGTGAAGAAAAAAAAAAACATGCTTTTTCCCATTGCGCCCCACATCTGGCCCAGTGACATCCACCACACCGGAGATCGCCAACACCCCCAGCACGGCTTTTGGTCCACCGTGCCCGCTGGCCGCGGCCGTCGCAGCCTGTGTTCGGACGGAGATCGGGGACCGCTTCCGAATCGGCGGATGAAAAGGAGTCGTCGGCAGCTATACCCTAGAGGCTTCCTGGCCCACCAATTTAATATAGGCTGAATACCGAATCAACTAAGGAATTTACACTACAAAAAACGGGATCAATCATGTTTCAATGGTCTTGGAAGTCTAGGGTATAGTAATTATAGTTTATAGTAACTTACTGATATAGTCTGGGCACCACCTTAACAGGAACCGTTTACTCCCACCCACCCTCCAGCTAAGGTGGTAAATGGAGTAGCCATATATTTATCAGCTCCAGCCTCCCTCCCACCTTCAAACCTCATCTCGGAGCACCCACCCACCCCAAACGAGCACCACCTCACACCCCACCTCGCTGCCAGTGGCTGCCTGCAGCCCATGTGCCTGATGCACCACCTCCGCCGCCTTCGTCGCGGCGGCGGCCTTGGCGGCGGCCGCGCGCTCCGCCACGGCTTGGGTGGTGGCCGCCTGGGAAGCGCACGAAGGGTGTCGCGGCGCGTGGTAGGGCGGAGGCCGAGCGGCGTGGGGGAAGGTGCAAAGTTGGGGGAACAAAGAGTTCGAAAAGCTGGTTGTGATTGGTTTGATTTCTGAGAGGATTTCCACATGCTACCAGTGTGCAAGAACAAAAAGAGCTGAATCAATTGAGTTTCATTCTACCTACCAACCATGATCCAGCACGCGACTGCCACTAGTCTACCACCACGCGAGGAGCTGCAGCTCCAAGCTCGCTCGCGCCTGGTGTGCCAACATCTTCTTGGCCGCACCGTAGGTGACCTCCGCCAGCTTGTAAGCTGCAGACTTCGCGTTATAGCAAATGCCCAGGTAGCCTCAGCCATCCCGGCGGAGTGGCAGGTCCAGAGGGTACCAGGGGTTGAACGAAATACATCTCGCCTGGCCGTGAACGGCTGAAGGCGCCGACGGTGACTGCGCACCAGGAAGGACCATTCAATCGAAGTGGTGGTTTGAAAAACGTGTCCTCTTAGCTCAGATGTGAGGGATTTTTAGCTCTGTGGAATGATTGCAGCGGCATCATTTCATGAGAAATTTTGGACATTCAAGTGGTTCCAACTGGAAACTACTCGATTGAAGCAAACCTGAGGATGACAGTCACCCAGTCACGCCAAGAACAGTCCGTCCAAAAGTCTCACGCCAGGTGACACAGTGAGCCACAGGAGCCAAAAAGGAGGGCCCCGCTCCTGAGACGCAAGAGTTCCTCTGAGCTTCCCCATCACCCAGCCATTCCTCAATTAACCCAGTCAATCCCAGTCACTTCCTCCCCAACGAGGCCACACCTCCCATCGCGGATGCGTTGTTTCCGCGGCAAATAGAACCACCACACCATGACGTCTCTGCTCCAAATGGGAAAAATTGAGTTGTCATAGCCCAGACGCTCTATGTAGTATGACATCTCTGCCGATCAGGGAAAGGGGTGGCTCAGTCCCATAGGCGTCGTCGTGGTACGTCGTGGTTCCTGGGTCCCTTGTTTCAGACTCTCTCTTTCCGGTCGAGGCGTCCCCACGGTGAGGATCTTGCCCAAGAGGTCCAGCAGATGAAACCACCAGTTGCGGCGTGCCTCGGTCGAGTGCAGGAGCTCCTCGGAGACCTCGGTCGAAGTGGTCTGTGGCCGGCCTGAGGAGGTGTGGAACGCCCTACGGCAGGTCCAGCTTGACCCAGGTCCAACACCGAACACCGAACCAATGGAGTGCGGTTTTTGAAACGACCCAGGTCGGACCAACTTCAGCTCCTTTCGGTCAAAATGAATTGATCGACCCTCCCAGACGCTCATGGACCCTCCTAAGTAGGGGTCCGGACCCTGAAATCCCTCGGGTTTTGAGGGACCAAGAGCTGTGAACGGAGCGTCTGGGCTGTAGCCTTTGGGTTTAAGGGCATATGTAGCCTGTAGCCCGGGGTTTGTCGGTGACCAGATGACGGCTCGGATTGGAAACGGACCTCGCTCGCGTAGCCCGGTAACAGGAATCCACCGGCGGCGTATCCCGGCGTGGCGTTGGCCGGAAACACACCAGCATGTTGACCACCTGGATCCACCTGGTGGAAGACTTCCAGACCTTCTCTCAGAACGATTGATATAGCCTTCAGAGTGCGCATGTGTTAAGTATGTGTGTTTCTCGGAAGCCTCCTACATTACAGGAGGTTCCTACTCAGAGATTCAGAGATGGTAAGTAATACTGCATAAAGAAAATCCAAGAAGGACTCACTTGAGCTTACTTCCAGCTTCGCTTTTTGTGGGGGAGACGGGTTCAACATCCTGCGCCGACATCACAAAAAGGAGTCCACAAATTCTCGTAATACGGTCCAAGTCAACCAGGTGACCTTCCCATGTTCCTCACATGTCTTGGCCACGCGTTCCACGTGGCCCAGGAGGACTTCGAGATTGGGTCGTAGCTCCTGAAACTTCTCCTGGAACCGGTTCCGCGCTTCTTCCGAAGCGCGGTGGATACGACGTGCGGGTGTTTTTGGGGGAGGCTCGCTCGGCCCATCGGTCGGGTCGTTCGCTCGACCCGTACGGTTGAGCGGCATCGGTCGGGGTAACCATGACCATCGGTCGGCCCAGATGTGGGTCGCACGTCTGGGAAAAAAGGTCAAGCAAGATACAACAAGGAAGGATGCGAGTTCGAAGCGCCAAGAGTTCTTGTTGCCACTCTATCCACCCGTTCCACGTCCGTGTGGAAACCCACTTGTGCGATCTCATGGTCTTGAATAGATGGTCTGAGACCCGCTCCAGGTCAACCAGGAGGTTTCGGTGGGCAAAAGCACCGTTGCCATTTCCTCAAGCCCATGTTGAAGATGGCGTAGGCCTAAGAAATATGGCGGCCTAGTTGTTATAGATGTGTTTTGTACATCTTCTTTGTACTGGCTTCAGGCTACACGGGCTATCGCAGGCCACTTTTTCTTTAAAAGGAGGTGGAACCTCCCGCATCTCCAGCAGCGTGCTTCTCCTGAAAGCGACGGGTTTTCTGCTGGATTCGCTGGGCGATCTTCTGGAGGTGCTGGTACTCGCCCGTGTGAATGCTGAGCTTCATCTGGTCGATGTCCCGAAAAATGGCCTTTTCGCGGCACTGGCATGTCTTTTTGATCGTCATTGGCCAGCTGTCTCCATGAAACCTAGTCTTTCTACAATGATGCTTGCTCTATGGCAGTGGCGGTCATGGTGAAACCAGTGAAGAAACAGGATAAAACCTACGTACTGTTATGGTCTTCTTTCATGACCTAATTATTGAGACGCCACCCTTTTTTCTAAACAAACATGGGCAAACTGCATGAACCTGCCGATGTGGAAGACTTCTTAAATAACCAGGAGTCATGTACCGGTTTCTATGTATTCTTTTTGTTTTGGGGGCCCTGGGGGGGTGGCGTTTGGCGTTTGGTTTGGCCCGACCCATGTTTTCAGAGTCACTTCCTGTGCTTCACCGCAGCCCGAGTGGCATCGGCGGCATTGCCCAGCGTCTGCACCCGGCGCTTGGACAACATCTCCTTGCAGGCTCTTCGCAGGGCCGCCGCCTCCTGGAACGCTGTGCGAGAGGTGGTGTGGAGGTGTTCCAAGGTCCATCTCACACACCGGTTGAACAAACTAACTGGAACGAACATGGTGGTGGCTACGTGGACGGCATGGACCATGAAATCCACGACAAACAGGTGGCGCGATGCACTTCAGTTCCAGGGAGAGTAGTGAAGTGAACAGTGAATTGGATTTCATGACTGGAACTGCAAACCAGTTGGAATGACCCTTTCATCTTTCCATCCATTGCAGATTCAATTCTGACGCACCCGCATGACCCTGGCCATTCATGTGTGCCTAACACTGGGACACCAATCCCCGCAGTTATCACCCGCACTAAACCCCTCCCCCCAACATCTTTTGCCCTTGTAGAGGACATCCCTACCATATTCAGAGGGGGGGGACCTCTGGAAAATGTAAGTTGCATTTTCTGAGCATGCCACCTTGAAAATGTAATAATACATTTTCCTCAACGCCCCTAGCTTACATTTTTCAAAAATGTAAGCTTACATTTTTGAGGTCCCCCCCCAAAAGTGCAGGGGGGCGTTCTTAACTGTAAGTTACATTTTTGAAAACATGTAAATTACATTTTTTCAAAAATGTAACTTACATTTCTGGAGGTCCCCCTATATTCCTGGGTAGGATAGAATGTCAATATAACATAATATAATGATTTCATACGATATCATACGATATCGACTAACGGATGAACCGTAAGATATCGATCTATCCTATCCTTGTGGTCCCTCGGGCCCGCGTCTGCTGTCGTGTTTCTGGTTACCTAACAAATAAGGGGGGGGGAAGAAAAATGTAAGTTACATTCCCCCCCCCCAACAAAATCGGAAACGGATCAGTGTGGCATGGACTCTGTATTTCATTGTATTCCCCAGGAATAACCGAGGAATGATTCATTCAAATTAGGGGGGGGGTCACATCCATATGCTGTCTTGTGTACCTACAGTCTTAAATCTTACTTTTAATCTACCCGCCCCCCTCCCCCCAAACAAATGTAAGTTACATTTTTGGAGGTCCCCCTCCAAAATCGATGGTTAAAGGGGTAGGGATTAGAGGACCTCTTAAAGTAAACAGATTGACATAGACTGACATAGATTCACTACTCGTGGAGTGATGCAGAACATCTTGCACCCCTCTTCTAAGAACCCCCGATAGGAACTTCATCTTGCCGCATGACGCATGACGCATGACGGCGCCTCAGTCTGATTGATGTCCACCAACTCACTCATCATCTGCCGAAAGGCGTCGATCTGTCCCGCTACATTCCGATAGCTCCGCGCATATTCCTGGCGCCGCCGCTGATTCTCTTCGATCAAGGCGGAGCGGAACAACGTCGTCCCAGGGTCAGCTGTTCGCACAGAACTCAGGAGAATGCATGCGTTCCAAGGGAATTTCAGTTGCCTAAAGGCCTAAAGGCTACAAGGTCTGGATGCCACGCCCTGTACTTCTGGGCCCTTTTCTACACTGAAAGAGTCTGCATCGTCTCCGATGTCTCCATCGATGTCAGCTTTACCACCATCACCGCTGTTCAGAAGCTCCTACAGCACCAATCCAACAGCCCATGTACCTTCATCTCTCACAGCCTCTCTCTTGTCCCCCACTCCTGTTGCAGCAGTTGGCGGATGGTCTTCGCGACCCACTGCGGACTGGCCCGAAGCAACACCTGCGCGGCCGCACTGGACGTAGATCATGGAGATTGGGTGGAGATGCTCTTGAGATCACCCACGCACTCCCAGTGTTTTGCCAGAATTGGTAGGCCATTTTCCGACAACCATCAACTGTTTCCATGTAGTTTTCCCCAAGTTCAGCCATGATTCCCTGGATGAATCTTAAAATTGCCCAATGAACCTGCTTTTGCCCACCCCACTGACCCAACCAAGATGTTGAACGAGTCGTTTCAAAGAGGTGTCAACCTCAACCTTCGGGTCACCTAATTAGAGTCACCGAGACGGATGGACACTGAGCAGCATGGACCAGCTGGAGACGAAGGCCTCCAGCTGTTCGTCTTCCAACTGCACTTCCATTTGCGCCACTGGCGCAGGCACCGGCGCCAGCGCCGCGGCGCTGGGGACGAGGATGGCGAGTTCTTCAGCGACCGCCATGGCGTTCGTGGTGCTGGCACTGGAGGAGGTGCAGGGCGCGGTTCGGGCCAAAGGGCTTGGAGCCGTGAGTCGTGGAGATCGCCTCTTGATCTTTAGGAGGTGCAAACCTGGGGACATGGTGAGAACCTGCAAGTATGGCATCTGAATTTTCCAACATAATAACTATATAGTCATGATGCGACAATCCAACATCCGATGTACTATCTCTGTGTGCTCATGTCAAAAGGCACCATCACCTCTCGTATGTTCCTGCGGGTTCCCGTGCGGACCATCGCACTGGCCGCCAGCGTGGCCTTCGGTAGAACAGCGACGGAAGCCGAACATCGACACCAACAGCGAGCTCAAGAGGCAAAGTCGCTATATCAAAAAGTCAGTGGGGACTCGATATCAACTAATGGCTTTTCCATGCGTTTCCATTATCAGAATTGCATGGAAAACATGTCTTTAAAGAAGGTGTAAGGATGAAGTCTTGGGTTAGTGTGTTTTCATGTGACTTGTTGATGTGATGTTTCACAATGCGACTGAAACATCAGAAGAACATCCGAGGACCCCAATTGAACCTGTTCACATCATTTCCTGTCTAGCTCCCAACATGCCCCTACTGTTGGCCATTCAAAGTAGACTGTGCTTATACATGCTTATACTATCTTATACTTATAACTGCGCTTTGCATTGACCTCCAACTCGCATTTCTGAACGAAACGTGGGTGATTCCACCAAATTGCCCAGCGAACGAAGGGCCGGCACCGGACCACGATCTGTTTTGGGCTCCGTCTCTGCCATGTGACGATCTGAAGCTGTCCGACAAGCCCACAGGTCAGCACCTGCTTGCGCATCTGCATCTTTCGGTGGTTTGGATCCTGACACACTGCACACTCCATGCGACGACCGGTCAGATTCTCGGCAGGATTCTCGGGGCGGTCGCCTTGGGCCGCTCCGCCGCCCTTCGCCGACCGCGCTCGGCGCGGTCGATGCGCGGTCGATGCGCTGAGGCTTCGGTGGAGTGAAGCCTGGCAACTCACTCGGCCAGCGGAAACTCCAGCCGCCTTCACTGCGCTTCGAAGGGGTTCTTACACAAATGGTTCACTCAAGTCTTCCCATCACGAAGCCTCACACGGAGTGTTGCGTGCTTCCTCTGCCTCTGACTCGACCAGCACCACCTGGGCCGCCGGAAGGGCGTTCTCAAGAGCCATCAAGCTCTGGTGAGATCTGATTGTTTTGGGATGCTCTGCCCCAAGAGTTCTTTCGTACGCCGTCAGCACTCGTCGATACAAGGTCTCCGCATCGCTGCCTTGGCCCATGTTGGCCAGGATCTGTGCCAAAGTCTCCAGTGAAACCAATGTATAAGGATGTTCCGGACCTAAAGCCTTTTCAAAGGAATCCACCGCTCTTCGACTCAAGATCTCAGCCTCATCGTAGCGGCACAGGTCACTTAGGATAGCTGCCAAAGTGTCGAGGGAGGCCAGCGTCCGAGGATGCTCGGGACCTAAAGTCCTTTCACAAGCATCCACAGCTCGTCGACTCAACTCCTCAGCCTCTTCATACCGGCCCACCTTCTTCAAGGAATTGGCTAGGTTGTTGACGGAGAGCAACGTATTTGGATGCTCGGGGCCGAAGATCCTCTCTCTGGCCTCCAAGACCCTTCGTGTCAATTCCTCAGCCTCCAGGTATTGAGACATCTCTTTCAGCACCGAGGCCAGGTTGCTGATCGAGTTCAGCGTCTCCGCATGCTCGGCGCCCAGCGCCCTCTCCCTAGCCTCCATGGCCCGACGATGCAACTGCTCAGCTTCCGTGAACTGGCCCATCTTCTGCAAAACGTTGGCCAAGTTGTTGACGGATTTCAAGGTATTGGGATTCTCACGTCCCAAGGTCCTACCCCTCACCTCCAAAGTGGAACGATGCAACTTCTCCGCCTCCGCGAAGTGGCCCATCTGCTCCCAGACCAACGCCAAGTTGTTGGCGATCGCCAAAGCTTGTGGGCTCTCAGGCCCCTCACTTTCCTCGCCCGTTCGAAGGAGTTCCTGCAACATGGGCAGCGCCTCCTCGTAGAAACCGCGGTGTTGCAACACCGAGCTGAGCCTCCACTTGACCCGCCGAAGCGCCCGCACGTCGCCCTGAGCCGCGCTCGCTCGGCTGCGCAGGGCGTCCAGCAAACGTCCACGGGCATGTTGGACCTCAGCGGTTTTTGGCGCTGAGACGTCTGTACCGACATGGTGCTGACGGGGTTGGGAGAAGCTGGCTGGGAGTGATTGAAATCCATAGGCTGGAGCATAAGATGAGTAATTAAGAGGCTACTGAGGCAAAAAGCCGTTGCGCCTACAAATCTATCAAGCTCTTTCCCATGACAAGTGGTTTGAGGGGTGATCCCATTAACAATTGCGGGTCCATGCGTGCATGCGGCGGATATTCATCACATGTCCACAATCTGATGTGGCCGTTTCGGAGTGACTTCTGCACATGTCTAGAGAAAGGACCTCATCCGGACCTCGAAAGGCTGCCCTACAGCCTATATCTAGCACAGATTCATTCCTTGACTTATTGACCATCCGCCTTTACATGCCACCCTCCTTGCCGCCCTCCTTCCCCTGGGCACGCTTGCTGCGCCATCTTCACCAAAGACTTGGACCACAATGCAACATCTTGGAGGCATGCCCGGCTCGTTCAGCAGCTTTCCAACCAGATTTCGACCCGGCTCCTTCCCGGCTGCCTCCATTTCTGGGGTGGCCCGCTTGGACACGTCAAAGGCATTGGAAGGGTTGACCAAGATGGGCACACAAAAGGCAGCCCTCTTGGGGTATTCGCGCTTCACGTACTCTGCACCTCTTTCCTGGTCCAACTCATCTCGCCGCATCATGTTGCGGAAGTTGTTGTCAAGTAGTTCTTCACGATCTTGCCACCGGTCAGGGGGCAATGGAACCGTATAGACCCCCCTGCCCCACCACGCATTGGCATTGGGCCCTTCCGTGTTCAATGACGCCCAAATCTCAGAGGCCTCCTTTCTGGGATGCGTGATATTGCGGAAGGCCAATTCATCCGTGTAATGAAACAGCACTTGTGACATCCCTCCGTTGGTCAAATCGATGACATCCCTCCAGATCTGGATGCCAGTGGGTTTGTGAAGCCAAGTGTGCAAAACCGCATCTGGAATCTCCTCGTAGTCGCAGTGGACAAATTCCCCTCCTTCGCGGTACAGATTCTCAAAGTATTCCCGCAAGTCTGTCCTCAAATGACATCCAGTTGCCCGAGGGCAACCAAATACCAACGCGTCAATAGAGTTCGAACCGAGCCGAAGGAAAGCAACAAAGAACCCAAACACGACTCTTACCATGAAAACTCCAACGTATAGATTGAGATAGATTAATCGGATTGGACATCACACCAACGGAAAAGCCAATAGCAATTCCGGGCCTAGTCACCCATTACCAGTAAGAGAGGCCCTTCTCAAACTTTTACCGACGGTTAGACTGTAATGGGCTGGACCCAAAAATATCAAGACCCTGTTGTGAGGTCCACCCACCCTCGCATTCGCACCCTGCAAAGCTCTACAGCTTGGGAGCTGATGAGGTACCGATGAGGTACTGGTACCGATGTGGGCACCTCTGGTCTCCACATCTTGCGAGGGTCAGGGGGGCGCCGATGGGCAACCGACTTGCAAAACCCATCATCGTCGCATCCCGCAACCAAGGACTCGCCGAAAAATGTCGTCAAACCTATACCAACCATGGCTACTGCAAACACATCCAAAACATCACATCAAACAATTGACTAATTATATACATATGGTCAAGACGGTCAAGCAACCTCTGCACAATTGATGACAGGAGATCTGCATCAACATATGTGATGATCTGTGAACAACCTCTGCATCAACACTCACAAATGCCGCTGAATCTCGTGGTTTTGCACCGCGGTGCCTCGGTGAAGAAGACGCGCAAGTAGCGCGCCGCCCTCCACCGGTTTTCCGTGGCATCGGGGCCTTATCCCTAAACGCCTTGGTGGTGGCCTTATCCAAGAAAGGGTCTTAAGCACACAACCAAGAGTCTGTGTCTTCTCTCTTGAAGGCCTGCCCTTCGTGATCTTCGTGGTAGAGGTTGGGCCGAGCGACTGGGCGTTTGTGGGGGTATGAGAGTTTTGAACACCCTGGTTCTCCGAATTTTTCTCCTTATTTTCGAATGCCATTCAAGAATCACCGAGCAGAAAACAAGAGACTCATGCTCATCCATGATGCGTCTTGAAGCCGTTCCGCCGCCTCCACTGGCGCATTTTGCATCACCACCGCCGTTTCCCGCGGCTGGGCATGGACGTCTTCCCGGGCTGGCACGACCTGTGTCGTATGAGGGGTGGTTGGGGGATGTGTGAGGAGAAGAAGAATCAAAGGAACTGAGGTCAAAAAGCTGAACGTTGTGAAGTGCTGGAGCAAAACCAAGGCTTGGTTGATGCCTGCAGAATAGATCATAACAGGTAGGTTGAGGCCCTGCTGGAACAAAACACCAAAACAGGAACCAAACAATGACAAGTACCCAAAGCAAAAGATAGAATCCCTATCCCGAGGTTGAGGCCTGCTTCTGCCCTTGAATCGAAGCAAAGCATGGACGGTGGCCAGTGATCCAGGCCCAAATTGGACCCTTCGTCACAGTCCTTCGCTTTCTTGCCTGCCTTGCTCATCAGTTTCTTAGGGATTCTAGGGGCCCTAGGGACCTAGGGAACTTCGTGGCGAATCCGCCGAATCACCGCCCCATCTGCGACAAAGGACTTGCTGGCGCTTCAGCTCCACATGGGATCCACCACAGCCCATTCAGCCCATGGTGCACTTGGGCGCATCAAAAAGCAGCACTCGGCACTTGGGCGTTCACATGAGCATACATGAGCTATGGTTGGATGTGGTTCATGCTTTGAGTGGTTGTTACCAGATATGGGAGATTCAGCGGTTGGGTGCCCTCACTTCTATTCTTTTTGCGGCCCTGCCCTTCTGCAAAGGGCCCTTGCAGCTGACTACAGTTGATGTTCATACCGCTCAGGCCTTGGGCAAAGCTCAGGCCAAGCACTGCAGGGCCCACCAAGTCATTAAAGCAAATACGGAAGAAAAAAAACACCGATGATCTGACATAGACATCACATCCGCACTTGCCTTGAGAAATCTTCAGAACATGACAGGTCACTGTTCCATCCAGAATGTTTGAAGCAACAACTGCCACAGGAAAAAAAATCGAAAAGCATCACCGAAACATCATGGCCTGTCACCTCATGGGACTGGTTGAGCCTGCGCTCCCAGGCGATGGCTGAGCCTTCAGGATGATGGTTGCGGTCAATCTGTGTCAAACTCACAACATTGCTTGCATTGGTTCTTGCATTCAACTGCAAAACAACATGCTTCTCTTTTGCACGGCCAAACGTGTCATGGCTTTCTTTAAAACATGTTAAGACATGCTGTTTGTACCCTCAACTTGAGCGGCGCAATTGCATGCGAGAGGGCTTGGGAGCCTTACTTTGGTGCGAGGGCAGGAAAGAAGCAAAGACTTGGTGTGCCCAAAAACTGACTGATTCTAGAATAATATTATATAGAATGCCGTGCCCCTGATGGCAGAACCTTCCAAGTGTGAAGAAGAACCCTGGCTCTCCTTGGACAGAAGGAAATGTTGCGTCTGGACTTTTGCTGGTTTTGAATTGTGGGCGAAGCCTCAAGAGCAAACTCGGATTTCTGCTTGTCGCCAGTGCAAGTTATCCAATCGATAAAACACACACAGCCAAAAAAATGTATAATGTCACATGATGTCCTTCTAAACACCCCACTTCCCAATACCCACAAAGAAGAATGAGTAAGCACAAATACCTCGCGTATGGTGTGGGAATTGTTGGATTACAATGCAGGGACTGCACTCGCGGTCCACGGTCCACTGCACTCCAACGGCGGTCCACTGCACTTGCCTACCCGGTTTTCACCGTCAGGCATGCAAACACCAAGCAACAAAGATCAACAAAGTCTTCGAAGAAGAAAACTAGGCTTTTTCACATCAGATGCCTGCAGTGGCACCAAAACAGGAACCAAAACTAAGCCCAAACCGAAAAAGGACCCTAAACGTAAAAGCAAAAGGAACACCAACAACAACCCGACACCGATCCACCAAAGATACCGAGACACCTCGCCCCGCGCGGCCTTCCAACCAGTCTCAGCCGAGACAAGGGCGATGCCTCGCCCATCCGGTTGCTGAAGACATCCAGGGCTCTTCATCGACACTGAAGCTTACAGTTGCCTCGAGATCTAAGACTGGTGCGGAATGGGCGGAATTCCCAGAATTCAGAGCAGCTGGGGGCTAGGGGCCTAGCGGGTGGCACTTCTACAACACTACTTGCCACGGTGTCTGTGATGCCACGAAGTGGCCAAGAGGAGCAGTTGTTCCACAAGCCGAAGGGTCATTGAATCCGTGGCCGGCCTCGACGTCACAACATCTGAACCAAACCAGAAGAATCTGTGCCAAAAGCAAGGCACAATGATGCCTCAAGCCTCAAAGTTGTACATTGACGTTTCGACATCAGTCAGAAGCCGCCCACTTTGCCACTTCCACCAAATTATAGGAAGGTACCAAACAAGCCATCATTCTCCGGGCTGGGAGTGTGTCACTCTACGCCTTTCTTTGGGAGATTGAAACGCTTCTGTTCAGCCCAAACTCCCAGAAGCGGCTCCACAAACTCTGCCAAGCTGCCTGGTCAAGTGACCCGTGATGCGATTCGCATGGCCCGGGACCACAAGACGCGACGTCGAAAGCGTCAGGCGTCACGCGCTGACGCTGCGCGGCGTTCGCCATGGCGTTCGCCATGGCGAAGGAGCGGTTTCGGCCGCGGTTCGGTGAGAAAGACCTGTGTGGGAGCTCCTCCGCGTTTCCGGAAGAAGCGGCGCTTCGCTGTTTGCTGTTGGGTGTTCGCTGTTTGCCCAGAATCGATACCAAACTCTAAGAATAACTGATCACAATCCACCAAAACCTGAATACGCCATGGAATTTCCGGAATGGTTCTGACGCAGGATTTCGCAAAGTGACCACTGCAGGTTACTGTCTGACTGTGTTCCACGTAAGCTGATGGGCGGTGACCAAGCAGGGGCGGTGACCAAGCACGTCATGTCGCTCGTGGCTTCTCCCGGCACATCGGTTCACGGAGCGGCTTTCGTTGCGAAGCTTCGTTCGGTGCGATCCGGGATCCGCCCAGCGAGGCTTCGCTCAGACCATTTGACGCAGGATGGTGACGAAGATGTCGTTCACCTGCGGGGAGGGGGAAGCTTTTTGCCGTGGAGCGTCCGAGCATGTAGCAACAAGTAGAAGGGGTCGAATGGTCATTCTCATGAACATGCTGAGTTAGCTCGGCTGCCATCAATTCCGCACGGGAATTGCACCCTCCAAGAAACTCCTCGTGTCGGGGTGGCATTGTTGGAGGAGTTGAATTAACGAGTGGTGGCATTCTTGCTTCGTTCTTTGGCCACCCTTCCTTTGGGACCACCAGTGCGATTGTTAGGTTGGAGGCCATCGCTAGTAGGTTGATGTAGGTTGGAGGCCATCGCTAGTAGGTTGATGTAGGTTGGAGG